CCTGCTTGGGGATGATGAGGAGAGGCACTTTCGCCGAGCTCCCGGTCACCTCCTCGCCGGACTCGGTGCTCGCCGTCTCGCCGCCGTCCCTCTCCGCTGCGCTCTTGTCGGCCTCAAAGGACGCGTAGGCGAGGGGGCTGCTTTTTTCCAGGAGCGCCAGCCCCTCGGCCGCGTCCTCGTCGGTGTCGGTGCTCAGCTCCCCGTCCGAGTGCACCTCCGCCTCCCCCACGGAGAACGCCGGGTCCACGTCCCCGCGGGCGGACGCCAGCTCCGAGCAGGGCACCAGCCCGGCTTTGATGGCGTGGGCGTGGGACTTGCGGTGCTTGTAGAGGTTGCTCTTGGTTTTGAAGGAGAAGCCGCAGGGGACGCAGGGGTAGGGCCTCTCACCGGTGTGCGAGCGGATGTGCTTCTTCAGTACGCTGGGCTTGGCGCAGGCCCGGCCGCAGTAGTGGCAGATGTACTTCCCCGGCTTCTTGGGTTTCTGCTCCTTCCTGTGGACGTCCTCCGGCTGCTCCCTCCCCGCCTGGGGATACTTGCTGAAAGGGAAAGTGGGAGACTTCCTGTGGGGGAAACCCCCTCCGTGGCCGCGGGAGCGCCCGGGGAGCAGGTCGTCCGGGGGGAGGGCCTGCAGCTGGCCAGCGAACGGCCAGCCCTGCGCGTCCAGGCTGGCCTGCGGCCGCGGCTTCGCGCCGGCCGGGAACGTCTCCGCGTCCCTGCTGACTGCAGCCTGCTGCGGGTAAGGATGCGGTAACTGGCGGAAGTAGGCCCCGGGGAAGTGCTGTGGGAACTGTTTTTCGTGAGACGGCTGGCTGACTGCGGGGGAGGGCGGTGTCCCGGAGGCGCCCTTTTCCAGCGAGTCCGCAGCGCCGCCGTCGCCGCTCTGATTGCCTTCACGCTGCGAGCGCCTCTTGGCCTGCGAGTCGGCGAAAGTGCTTCTCTTAGTGCTGGCTGTGGGCTCTGAAAGCCATTTTCTCTGCAGCGGGCTCTTCTCTCGCGGCTCCTTGGTGCATTTCTGTCCAGCGGCAGACTCAAGTGGCTCCATGGTCCACTTTTATTTCTACAAGGATGCTCAAAACCGATGTTTGTTAAACTGCTCTCGAATAAGAGGACATGTTGAATGTTTGCCCACAAGAGTGCTCCTCCCGCATCAAGTCCTCTCGTTTTTGGTGCCCTCGAGTTGGCCCGAGAAATGCTCCTCTTGTTTGATATTTTCAAAGCCTTCTTTTGTTGACATCAGATTGCTTGCTTTCTCTATTTTATTCCAAGCATGTAGACTTTGTCTTTCAGGTCATTCAGCGTGCAGAATCCACATGTTATCTGAAAGAAAGCATGTGTTGCATGTTAGATATTAGCTGAATGATGTTCACTGGTGAAACTGTTTAGTTTTAATTAAAAAATACACAACAACACAATACAAACAATCTGTTGTCTCTTAACTTGCTCAAAAAGGATGAACTTTTTTTGTTTCTTTGTTAAGCCTGTGAAAATTAAATTCAACATATTAAGAATATATTATTAATATTAATTAATTATTCTTTATCTGAAAATGCAATGCACGGAGAGAAACTAATGACAACAAAATAAGTGAGACCTCATGGCACTTTCACTGATTTTCTCTGAAATATTTACAAATTTCTTCAGAGTTCCATTTAATTCTTGATCATGCACCGACACGCCAAGTCACCTACATGGAATAAGAGTTCTGAAGTTTGAACACCGAGCACTTTTTCGGGAGGAAAGTGTCTTGGTCGCGCAGGTGCAGAGAACGCTTCCGACGCTGTGACTCACCGCTTACCGCCGTGCCCACTCACTTCCTCAAAAGACACAAAAGGCGCAAAAATAGCCTGCGGAAAGCTCAGAGGGTGACGCCAGCTTGCAGATGTGTGTAGGTGGCTGCATGTAGTAATTACCGCAGGGTGAGCTGTGACGGAACACTGGCATTTTCCTCTCCGCGCCTTCGCCCTTTTTTTAGCTTGCTTTAATTTTCACCCAGACTTTCACAGACGATGTACACAGACACGTACATGCATACAGCCCCTGTGTCGTCACGAGCCGCAATTAGCATAACCCCCCGCCTCGTGCTCCCACACTTTATATTGAGTGAGTATAAAGTATACTGTACCTGATGGGAGATTGTCTGTGTGATGGCAAAGTCTTGCAAGACTGCAAACCATCATAAAGTTTGAGTACAACAACCAAATGATGCTAAGAGTAATGGATGCAATATCTGCTGGAAAAATGCCCCCGCAAAGTGCAGGCAAAATGACCACAGTGTATAACCTGAAAAACTGCAATCCTTTTAGTCATGCTGATAGGTATACCTTATACTGCATAATGGGTGATACAGAGAGGGCCTTCACCAGTCTACCGACTTACCCAGCATCTTTTATACCAACACATCACCTCAGAAAAACTGCCTGTATTTTTTGAGTCACCATTTTTCTAAATAGTTCTGGATTTTAACATTTGTTGTTTTACTTGGGTAACACATTTTTTGTCATCATCCTATACTTAAAATGAAATTCCAAATATAATGTGTATGCATATCCATCGTTATCTTCTGAGCTTGCATCACCTGTCCGCTTTTAAAGCTATGTAATTGCATCTCTAGTTTGATTGTTCCCTTTCCCCAGGTATGAAAGAATACATGAACTGTGACCTGCGAGTATTACCTTTTAAAGCAGTGCAAATTTCAATGCCATCTTTTTGATCAGACTGCATAAAAGAATCAGCTATTAACTGGTAACCTTTATCTGAATGTCCATACTTCTTAATTCTGAAAAATGTTCAGAACAGGCCCAAAAAAAATAAAACAGTCCTGAATGAGTCAGACAGTGCTGTCATTTACTTTGAGCCAAAGTACATCATGTTTTTGAGAATGGACGGAAATATTCCGAAGCATCCTCTTCTGCCTGCGAAAGGGAGCCAAGGAAATCTGCACAGAAGATGGACCACATTCTGTGATATTTACCAAAGCACAGAGAGCGGGATGACTCAGACAAATTATATAAGGTCTAAAATTAATCTATGAATATTCATTCTGACAAACACACACACACACACACACACACACACTTGCTATTTGGTTATCAGCAAAAAATATTTTTGCAATTAAAGATGAAGTCTTCTTCCTCAGCAGACCTGTGTAACTGGCAGGAGTCATGGGCTTCAACAGTCACACTGTGAAGTTCATCACCACAAAGGCTGGCTAAACAGCCAACGCCACAGTGGCCGTATCACAATAAGAACACATTCTCCTCGTCTAATTGAAGGACGAGTCAACTTTACATGCCTGCGGTCGAATTTCAGAGCAGGCGTTCAAAAAAGGTGCCTCATTTGCATGTGAACAGAATGTTCCATGGAGTTAGTATATCCCGAAAGTTAAAAAAAAAACATGTAACGCCACATGTCAAGTGATTGGTGTTGACTTTAAGGGGGAAACACAATACAAGCTCAATAACACGAGAGGTCCTCCCCCTGTGCTTAAGCTGGAAAGACGGGCAGGAACAAAGCCAGACCTGGAAAGGAAAATGACTCACGCACTTCAACCCTGCTGTTTTCAACTGCTCACCGTTTCATGCCATCCTATGTAATGCACAAACTGCGGTGTGTTTGTTTCATCCTACGTTCCACACTGTGTCTGCGCCTTTGTATTTCCCACAATGCTGCGCTATAGTGTCTCCTTCTCTCCAGCACACAAAGAGTGCCTCCTTTGTCCACTCTAAGGCAGAGCATGAATTATTTAAAGGCGCACTAATCACTTCCATTCCGTAATTACAGCTCTCACGCTAACAATGCTGTGCCGTACAGGGGGACTGGACATTTCCGATCAATGAAAATTCCCCAGCTTCATGCTGGTTAAGTGAAGGCAGAGATTTTCTTTTCATTCTCTCTGTCCGAAAAGGGCCCCTTGCCCATTCCCCATACCCCCCGATGGAGGCTGAAAATGCACAGTGAGACTATGTTCAAGACTCCATAGGAAAAAAAAAACAGTTAAACTGAAAGAGGTGGAGTGAAGAATACATTGTTTCTCAGTTAATTATTTGGAAAAATTACTCATAAGTCCCTATTGCCAGCCTTCCCATGAATACTGCTCTCGGTGTTTGTCTTCCAATTGATTGGTGAATGAGGGAAACTGACACAATGGTGACAGAGAATTCGTGACAAACAGCGAGGGTTACAACAGACTGGTGTGAAAAGAAGGTGGGGCTGGCCACCAACAATATAGTATACTGCTTTTTAAGAAGAGCTGTCACTTTGTTGTTCGGAACATGGCAACACTGTTGACAGGAAATGGGTTCACACCAGAAAGTAAAACTTGACTGCTGCACTGCAAAATATAAGCATATGCATATATATATATATGCCATAAATGTATGCTGCACAGCATGCTTCGAAGAGAGAAAATTCTGAGCTCATAAAATACATGATTAGCTTTTTAACAGGCTCAGTAATTCGATACTTGAGTAATCTAATCCTGGAAATATGAAACCTGCAGATACATCAATACTTCAAAATAAATATGCACGTGTCCTTTCAAAGATGCTCTCCAAACACAAACACCCCGTGCGTGTGCAAAGTGGAGAGTTCGAAACGGAGGGTGTTATTTTTAGCGTGTGATGGGGACGAGGGCGGGCACGCGTGTGTTAGTGTTCGAGGGGGAGATCGTGCCGGGGGGGGTGGGCACTGACGTCCCTCGGCTGTCTCGAGAGCGGGAGGGGGGCGCGGGAGGCGACAGCGTGAATGGCGTGTTGCAGGGACGCGCTTTCTGATGAAAGGCGTTCCGAGAGGCCCGCTCTCCTCTCCTGATGGAGAACGCCGATCTGCGCGCATCCATAGGAGCTGCCATTTTTCCCCTCAATAGCTCATCTTCACAGAGGACATGCGGGACAGTCAAGCACTGACTGAAGAGCTGAACACGTGTAAATGAAAAGAAACCTGCAGAAGTGGCCCGACTGCAACATCTACTCTTCTGCCGTGTCACTTCTAAGTAACACAATGGCAGTGTGGTACAGCGGTAAGAAGTAGGGCTTGTAACCGAAAGGTTGCTGGTTCAATTCCCCACCAGGGACTGCTGCTGTACCCTTGGGCAAGGTACTTAGAGCCGTCTCAGTAAAAAAATCCAACTGTCTAACCGGATAACATGTAAAAATTATAACCTATGTAAGTTGCTCTGGACAAGAGCATCTGCTAAATGACAGTAATGTAATAATAATGTAAAGTAACTGGATGCTACAGAGGCTTTCACCTCTGTGCCATACAGAACGTGGGTGCTTGGAACCCAAGACAGATCAATCGATGCTGCAAAATCTGGACCAACGTTCATCATTTCATGGGAACTTTCCAAGCACTTTCAGTACAAGGGACAGGTTAAAAGTCACTTCAGTGGATCCACAAGCAAATAAACCCAGGGAAAAGGTTTGGTTGGACATTTAGCCACTCCAGCTTCAACCTTTCCCTTGGGTTAATTTAAAATTTTATATATTTTTTTTCCAACCTACTCACATTTTACACTCCTTTTATATGTATGTGTTACGTAACTGTAAGGTTACCTGAGGTCGTTTTATTCAGAGTGCAGCCGTAAGTGCCCTTTAAGCAAGGATACAAGGACAGAGCAGTACAACTAAGCCACCTCTGATAGAGTATCAGCACAGATCTTCTATATATGGACCAGATAGTCAGCTTGGTGCATTCCACACTGAAAATTCTGTCTCTGCCACTGTTGAAGCTGCAAGTGTGCTAATTGGCTGTCATGACATGAACTTTCTTGAAGGGGCGGGGTTTAAAACAGAACATCCATTGTTAGCAAATGAACCCAGACAGCTCTTTTACCATCTGGAAACTCCTAGATGGAGGACAGGGGGAAAGCAGGAGCTGAATATCTGATCTTAAAAGAATGTCTTTGGTATCAGGCACTGAGAGACAAAAATAATAGCTGCCATGCCCAATATTGATATTATTTTCGGTTAGGATCAATGCTATCTGCGCTTCCAGGAACATTTGGATATCATTCACTGCGCTAAAAATAAAACCATAAACAGGCCCCTGGGTTTAAGACCAAAAGAGCGTACCTCGCTGTTGCCCAGAGACCTTGTTTATATGTTTGTTTATCTGTTTATGAGCTCCATGTCAGTTCATTATGTCTCTGCTTCCAGAGAGAAGTGCTTCCCCCAGGAGCACCTCCAGGGAATATCACATTACACGACACTGAAATATTTATTTGCCTGACAGATGTCTTTAACCCAAGTTACTCACATGGCTTAAATTTGACATACTAACCATTTATACAGTATGTATCATGTACACATATTACATATACATACTCCTTTTCTCTCTTATATATATATTTTTATATATAATATTATACACACACACAGTGCCACAACAAGAGTGTCTACAAACATGTCTTATAATTTCAGAAATAATATGCACACTCCTGGCCTGTTTTTGATTGATTTGTGTGATCAAAAGTGTGCCAATTAAAGTATGGATTACTACTTAGTCATAATTAAAAGGACTTAAAAAAAGGCCTAACGCACACAAACACATACATATAAACACAACATTGGCAACGGGCCATTATCAGTTTAATGGTCAGATCTGTGCTTCCCCTGTCAGTAGTTCACCGGCTGCCACTCATGCATGCAGCAGCAAAACAATCCTGGCTAAATGGTCCAGAGAGAAATCCTGCCATTAAGCCAGTGCAGTGAGCCTCAGGTGTGCACAGGCTGCCTGCCAGGGTCACGCACTTTCACAAAACTGCGGGGAAACGCAAGCTTTGCTCACCGACGCTGTTGACGCTGCATGACAGATGAGGGTGGATGACGTCCGAGCGCGGTCTGGGTTTCCGAAAAGGCGCAGCTGCACCCCGCTGTCATTTCACAAACAACAGGATCTCACTCTGTTCAGAGCCGCAACCCATCACGCCAGCCTGAGGACCGGGGCGTCTTTCAGCCCGAGAGGCAGGGCTACGCACCGAAAAGAGCCGCAGCAGTTTGAATGAAAACCGTCTCCTTTCAGCTCAGACTCAACGCTTAATACAAACCGCAGACTCAAAGTCCCTGACCTGATGTACAAATACTGTACCGAAGGAAAGAGCGCAAGAGCGGTCTGGAGGATGCCGGCAGGAGGAGGACAGTAAACCCCTCCCTACTCTCTCAGCGCTCTGGAATGCTAAGGCTCTGCAGTCACAGTTTAAACAGTGTCCGTAAGAGCAAATAGCAGGAACATTATTTCCGCAGGATAACCCTTTATGAAGGGGTAAAACACCCACTTGTGTTGACTGTAAGAACACCCTTCAGGGAACTATGTTTGTCCTTTTTATGGGGATAAAATGCACAGATATGCCTTTAAAAAGCTCAAGTGTTGCATTTCCCACGTAAATAAGAACTTTCTTACAAGAATGGCATTGACAGCCACATTTGAAAAGATATAAAAAGTGTAATAATTCTCACACAGTCCATAAAAATGACAAAACTCATTGATGGATCAACAGCAACAATGTTGAAGAGGGGGAGAAAAAAAAGCATGTTGGACTTTATTGTCTGTGGAAGGACGGTCATATTTTCCACCTTGTAAGCTTGGAGCCATGACTGAAGTATTACTTCCTGGAAGTGTTCCGCAACATTCTGCAGAAACACCAGACTGTGGGGGCCCTGAACTATGTTTTCCAACACCACTTCCACCTCATACAACCACTTTATTTAACTTCAGTTCCACATTCTAGTAGAAGTCTGTGGCCAGTTATTCACTTTTGAAATAATTTAACCTCAATTTAAAGATTACTTAAGCAGTGTATATCTTGGACTGTCCTCTCGCACACGGTTCTGGACTGAGAATTCAATTCACATCTGTTAATACAACCGACCAAAGTCCCCCTCCCCCGCTTCCATACCAATCTACTGAAATATTTTCTGTGCATGCTTTTAATTTTATTTTTATTGCACCACATGCACACCAATCTATCAAATGGAGTATTGTGCCACTCTGGCTAAAGCAAGTGGAACAGAATACCTAATAACTTCCAAATATTTAGCCACTAAAATTCTATAGAGAAAAGGTGTAAAAACAAGATGGAGATCATCAGGGAGTCGTAAGATTTAGGCTGGGATTGGCGGTGTTAAAACATCCGCCACAAAGGAGCAAGCCTCCTGTTTTAGAATGGTCTGGCTCTCTCCAGCTATTTTACATTCATGCATCATTATAAGACTGAAATTATGAGTAAGTTTCTCAGGAATTCAGTACATAATCGAAAATTAGGAATAGGAAGGGTTGGGCTCCACGCTTTCCCAGGGCTGGAGTTTTTACAGAGCCGTGTGCCCTTTAACAGATTTGGCTGAAGTGAGCAAACAGATGTGAGCCAATACAAACACCCTGTCTTACTACCATTCTGCAAAAGAATCATGTTATGTAGCACTGGAGTAGTGAATATACAAAGTCTTGTTTTCGTGTCCATACAGCGCAAACATGTATGTTGGTAATGTCCGTGTCACATGAGGTACATCTTCATTCCTTGCAATAAAACAAAAATGGACACCGAGAGGAAACTTGAGCGGCCCACATTTAACAAGTTAAACAAGCAGTTCACTGGAGTTCTGGAGGCATGATTTAACTATTTGAATTGGAGGACAGTTCCTTTTATAGTAAAGGATCGGGCATCAGGAAAAGAGATCTTTGAGGATGGACAGAGGGAGTGAATTTGACCTTGAATGAGGGTGACAGAGCAGTGAGGACCCCGAAAGAGTTTGAGCGGAAAAACAGCAGGAAGACAGTAAGCAGTGAGGATCATTAGAAGGTAAGCTGGGTCTATTAAAACGTCAATGATTGATTTTACAATTATCATTTAACACACAATAAAAGAACAAAAGAACAAAAGAGAAGAAGGAAGAAAAAAAAAGACACAAGTGAAAATGAATCCTGTGTAATATGATTGGTTGAGTGAACAATCCACAGAACATGGAAGAGGAATTCTCAAGGCCATGTGATAAGTGCTTGATATGTCCACTCTTCCCTTAGTTCCCATGGATTCCATGAACCACTCTAGGTGCCCCAAAAGAAGATATTTCTCACAGAAACTGGGTATTGTCCCAGCCAGCTGTCACATTTCAGGTTCTCCAGCTTTCGTTACCCATAGTACATCTTATCTTTAAGTCTCTTTAAATATTTGTTGGGTTGATCCAACCAAGAACCCTTCTACTGTACATCAGTACTCTTCTCTTCAAATCAAATCAGATGGCAGTTCCCGTCTAACACTGTCTATATACTGTACACCATATTCAGCAAACACCGGGAAATAACAAAGACTTCAGTACTGCCGCAGAGGACTTTCTGTTGACGAATGTCTTTGAGGAATATTGCAGAGCAAAGCAGGCTTGGAAAACAAATAGTCCTGCACCACACCTTGAGGAGTGAACTGAAAAGAACAGCTGTCACTGTAGCATTTGCATAGCAGTTTGCCACACAGAAGAGAGATGAACATGCACGTTTTCAATACCCCTATTACCACGCAGACAAAATAGGTAATACAGATGGGTAGGTAAACATAGAAACTGTAGTAAGTGTACAGTAGAAACTGTGGAGACTGTAGAGACTGTACAGAAATGAGTTTCAGCAGACAGTGAAACAACAGTGGGCTGGGATTTTAATAAATTTATCTTCCTTGTCATCTACCATAATTCATTCACTTGGCAGCTATTCTGATCCAAGGCAATTTGAACATGTTAAATTGTTCATGCAGTCCATTTATACAGCTGGATGTTGTACTAGAACAATTTAGGTTAAATATGCCCAAGGGTTCCCCACCCCTGACTGGAACCTTAAGCTACGGCACAGAGAAGACCACAGACGAACTGTATCCAAGATTTCTGTTGGCTCGACAGGCCATGCCTGCATTTCTCATCACCCATCTCATCAGTAGATCTTATCAGTCATTGGCTGTCTCTTGCTAATCTGAACCCTCATTAGCCACGGCCCTGTTTTCCATCACACACAACACAGCTGGATCCTGTGACACCTGCAGGTCCAATGCTAACTCTACACCTCTGCCCCTTCATGCAGGTCCACTGCTAACTCTACACC